TACAGTAAGAAGGATATGACTTAGACAATAGGACCCGGGCCACCTATGGTTGGATTGAGTGGCCCAAAGTATTCCCAGCAGCTCTTATCTCTGGCCAGTACCCAGCATGGTTCTATTACTATGGTGAGCCCCTCCCACTCCCCTCCTCTCCAGCACCCAGATGTTGCCTGGCCCCTCCGCGTCCTGAGTCTGCCCCTGAAAGACCAGTGCTAACCGGGAGAGGACACGGTGTCCTCCACTTTGAACCTCCCCCTCTGCTCTTTATGAGCAAGCTTTGGGGAGTAGGGTGCACATCACAGCCCCAGAGTCCCTCAACTCCCTCACGTGCTCTGCTCTCCAGTGAGGTGTGCTGGTTAAGACCACCCAAAGGTCTGTGGGCTTCCGAATGCAGGCAGTCGAACTCCCTGTCCTTAACGAAGATGACTCCCGTGGACGCAGCCCTTCCCACCGCACAGTGTCTGGAGGGTTTGTGGGTGCATGGGCTGTGCCGCATGCATGCATGCTGTTCTTTTAAACCTCCCTGGTCTTCCTACAGCCGCACTCTAACTTTTCCCTTTTCCTGGAAACATCTAACCCTCACGTTCATAGCTGAAGTTCAACCTGATCGAATGCAGGGCATGATTATTTGTGAGGTCTACGTTTCAGGGAGGCTTTGGAAAAGAGAAGGAGGGGACACGATCAATGCTTGGGGGGCGGGGGGAATCATCACGAATTGGGAGGACTTTGCTTCTGATTTTCTTCAAGGTAAAACTCAGCCAGGTGTGCAATCTCTTTGTATTGTGATCACCCAGGTAGTTCCCTGGGTGCCCAAATCGATGGTTGCCTGGCGATGCCAGGACTCCTGGTAAGTCAAGAATACCAGTTGAGGATGACCTAAGGAGGTGCCAGCACTACTTCTGACAAGTGGAGCCGGCTCTTATTTATTTCCATTTTGAGCCTTAAGGCCTTCTTAGCTTCTTGGTGACTTGTGTAAACTACAAGCCCTAGGCTGGTGCCCAGGAGTCATGTGCTTGGCTCCTAATTTAAAACTTGGAGATTGGCATCCACCTAGAGGCACCTTGGCAAAAAGGCCAGGTGATCTGTTTCCAGACAAACAAACAAACAAAAACCAGCTGGTGTTTGGTTTCAGCTACAGGTGGAAGGCTCTTCCGGTGTCCCCGTTCCCTGCCTGTGACCACACACGCCTGGCTGGGAGCGTAATCACCCCCGCGGGCCAGGCAGGCAGGCTCAGCGCCCTCCTAGGCAGTAGAGGCCATTCCTAGGGCTTCCCAGTCTGTCCCAAGGACTCTGATCTTTTGGGTCAGGTTGTTGGGACCGTTGGAACTTCGGCACTGTGTCCCTCTGACAGCCCACGGTGGCCGTCAGATCAGCACGCTTCACCACCACCAGCCACCCCGGAGGAAAATATGTTGCCGCCTGCCATATTTTACGTGATGGTCTCGCTTTGCCACCCTGAGTGTTTCTGTGTTGTCAATGTTGACATGTGTGCCCACGTGGTTGTGGTGCGCACACATGGTAAGGCCCTCCGGGGTCACGTGTGTCTCACTGTGTTTTCTGTGCTCCACCGCAGTGCGCGTAAACAAAAGGGACATCATCTTCCTTTTGGATGGATCGGCCAACGTTGGAAAAGCCAACTTCCCTTACGTGCGTGACTTTCTGACCAAACTAGTCCACAGCCTTGATGTTGGACATGATGCTATTCGTGTGGGGGTAGTGCAATTTAGCGACAGCCCCGTGACGGAGTTCTCTCTAGACACACACCACACCAAGGCCGAGCTGCTGACCCGCCTGGGCCAGCTGCAGTACCAGGGGGGCTCCGGCCTGCGCACGGGCTCGGCCCTCAGCTTTGTCCGCGCCCACCACTTCACCGAGGCCGGTGGCAGCCGTGTCCGGGAGCACGTCCCGCAGCTCCTGGTCCTGCTGCTGGCTGGCCAGTCCGAGGACTCCTATTTGCAGGCGGCCAACGAGCTGGCGCGCGCAGGCGTGCTGACCTTTTGTGTGGGGGCTAACCAGGCCAAAAAGGCCGAGCTTGAGCAGATTGCCTTTAACCCGAGCCTGGTGTATCTCATGGACGATTTCAGTTCCCTGCCAACGCTGCCCCAGCAGCTGATTCAGCCCCTCACCACCTATGTTAGCGGGGGTGTGGAGGAAGTGCCCTTCAGCCAGCCAGGTAAACACAGCGCCCTTCGCGTGGACCCCCCATCCCTCCCCGGTGGGCAGTTGGCTAATCAGAACCCAAGAGTGTTGTTAATACCTCGAATGGGGGGTGTGAACCACTGTACCAGCAAGGTGGGGGGGCTCTGTCTCCAGGACACTCTTTGGGGGTACAGATGGCCAGGATGGCAGAGACGGGGCACTGCACCCATCTTGTCGCACCCTCGACACAGGAACTTCAATTTGCTTACTTCATTTTTTTTTTGCTCCAATGCTGTGAAGATTTTGGCATTTACACCCAGCTAGATCTGATGGAAATGAGAAGGAGAGAGACAGCCAGAGAGAGAGAAAGAGGGAGAGAGAGAGCCTCTTTCACACACGAGTGTGCTCTGAGGTCATTTAAGCCCTGGTGGCATAGTGGTTACCCATCACCAGCCACTCCATGGGAGAAAGATGAGGCTTTCTATGCCCATAAAGAGTTATAGTCTTGGAAGCTGATAGGACAGTCTTATCTGGTCCTATAGGGTCACGCACGGGGAGTCGGATTTGCCCCATAGCACTGAGTTTTGAGATGGTTTCCACTAAATGGTATTTTCATGCCCCTAAAGCACAAGTTCTAGCTAGTTACGTAGAAGGAGCCCCAGAGACATGACTTCTCAGCCCTACCAGCCCAGGCCCCACAGAGCTGGGTAGCAAGCCTGAGCCAACTGGAACCCCCTCCAGCACTTGTGGCAAGCATTTGAGCTGAGGCGAGCCCTCACATTGCACCCGGCCTTCTGCCTGCCTCTAAGAGGCCTGGGGCACAAGGGAAGGCCCAGTGGCCTTCAAATTAGAAAGTCCCATTTAATAAAAAAGATCCTCCAAGCACAGCATAATCATGGCCATTCAAGTATGCTTGGGTGCTACCCCTCACCCGTCTTTATCACGCAGGGTTGAAGTGAAGTTTTTAGCAGCAGTACGAGGGCCATGCTGTTCATAGTTCCGTGGGTGTCCGTTGGAAACACACCTGTTCTCCTGGTGGGATTTCCAGCAGACGTGAGCGCACAGCCCCGCGGTTGCCTCCTATGGCTCACTTTGTCAAGGAAGCATGGTGCCCGACTGGCTAGAGCGAGCTTGTCTACCCCCAGCTTTGCAAACATGCACCGCTTTGGAACGCGGTTGTTTCTTGTTAGGTGCCTAGTTCCAGCTCATAGTGGGCCTAACTACAAGACAGCAAAGCACCACCTGGCCCTGCACCACCCTCGCAAATGTATGTGTGAGCCCATTGCTGCAGTCACGATGTCCACCCATCGCCTTGAGGGTCTTCCTCTTTTTCACCAACCCTCCACTTCTCCAAGCGCAATGTCCTTCTCCAGGGACAGGTTACTGCTGATAGCCTGGCCAAAGTCTAGGAGACGCAGCCTCTCCATCCTTGATTCTAAGGAGCAGTTTGGCTGTTTGTTCAAACCTGGATTTGGGTGTTCTTCGGGCAATCCAAGAAGACACCCAGTGTTCTTCGCCCACACCACAATCCGAGTGAGACCTCTGAGACAGCTGGACGTGCTTGCTCTTCTCTTGCTGGTACAGTGGTCACCAGGCTGGCGACCGGGTGGTGCCTGCTAATCTCTCTCTCTCCCCTCCCGGCGTCCTCACCCCTTCTCTTGCAGAGAGCAAGAGGCGAGACATCCTCTTCCTCTTTGATGGCTCCGCCAATCTCGTGGGTCAGTTCCCAGCTGTCCGGGACTTCCTCCATCGGGTCATCGATGAGCTGGACGTCAGGCCCGATGGCACCCGGGTCGCGGTGGCCCAGTACAGCGACGACGTCAGGGTGGAGTCGCGCTTCAGCGATCACCAGAGCAAGCCCGAGATCCTGAACCTCGTCAAGAGGATGAAGATCAAGACGGGCAAAGCCCTCAACCTGGGCTACGCCCTGGATTACGCGCAGCGCAACATCTTTGTGAAGTCGGCGGGCAGCCGCATCGAGGAGGGCGTGCTGCAGTTCCTGGTGCTGCTGGTGGCGGGCAGGTCCTCCGACCGTGTCGACGTGTCCGCTGGTCACCTGCGACAGAGTGGGGTGGTGCCGTTCATTCTCCAAGCCAAGAACGCCGACGCTGCCCAGCTGGAGCAGATCGTACCCTCCACTGACTTCATCCTGCAGGCCGAGTCGCTGCCCAAGATCGGCGAGCTCCAGCCCCAGATCGTGAACCTCCTGAAGACGGTGCACAACGGGGCCCCGGCACCAGGTACACCCCTGTTTGCCAGTGCGTGAGTGGGGAGTGGGCTCCTGGCACGGCGCCCACCGAGAGCAGCCCTCGGTGGGTCTGCCTGCGCAGCTGACCCGCGTGGTTCTGCAGGAATAATGGAATGAGGATCAGAGCCCCTTTCCTGCGTCTCCTTTGGCGCTCGGCTTCTGGGAAGGTCACAGCCAGGGTGCCCCTGCGAGGCAGCTCTCCCTCTCCTCTGCAGCACGCGGGCTGGTCAGGAGGCAGAACTGGCTCCACCACAGCTGAGGTTGTAGCCGTTTCCATGTGGGTGTTTGTCTCCTGCTGACCCTTGGGTCAACCAGAAGACCTGGGATGGTGACGTTCAAGGACATCAACATATTTTGTATCACAGAATGTATTGTAAAGGCTTAGGCAGACCGGTGGCCACACCCCTTTCTTTTCAGAGCGCATCTTCTACTGCAGGCTTACGGAAAGCACACGCCCGGGCTCCATGATTGCTGGAGCAGTCTCCCTCCCCACCTGACCCCCGCCGGCCGGCGTCTTTATTTCAAGTGGGCATCAGCCTCAGAAACTCACAGGGGCAGTTCTACCCTGTCCTCTAGGGTTTGCCATGCCCAAGAATTGACTGGATGCTGCCAGTCATGACTGGTCATGGTTCTCCTTGACCAGTTCCCAGTGATGATGCCCAGTCAGTGTGTCCAATGATCATAGACTTGCACCACAGGACACCACCAGGGAATCCCGTAGGTGAATTTCCACCACAAACGCCATGGTACCATCTCCAACTGTTATTGGCCCCATAGAGGGCCGCTCTGAGCCAGAACTGATTCCGGGGCAATAGGAAGTTCGTGTTGCCGAGACTTGGCGTTTAGCCCCTCTTTCTAGGGCGATTCAGACCCGGGAGAGCATGCAGAGCACTGGGCGCACCAGCCTGGCACACACAGAGCCCATCCCCAGGATGGGACATCCTGAGCTCCTGGGGACTCTGTTGACTGCTGGGCATGTCCACTCTTTAATTTGGAATCTCACCCCAAGATCCAAGTTTTCTTCTTGCCCATTAACTCACTTGTGACTTGCAGAAAACCACCGGGTCCCAGTTGCCCATCAGAAAATAGGGATGGCTATGCTGGCTCGGCCATCCAATCTCTCTCCCTCTCAGAAACGAAATAAATGGGAGAGTTATGACCACACCGTTGAAGGTTGGGCTGCTGAGCGTAAGGTCAGCCATTCGAACCCACCAGACGCTCCACAGGAGGAAGCTGAGGCTGTCTGCTCCTGGAAGAGATTGACAGCCTCGGGAGCCCCCGATCGGGTTACTGTGATTCAACCCACGACAGTGGGTGGGTCGAAGGTCAATAAGAGACCATTTTTCAAGCACTGGAAAGTTCCCTCCAGTATGCCAGGGTCAATGAAACAGGGTTGCTATGAAATCATAGACTCTACTAAATGAAGAAATTAAAAAACGAAGCTCTTCTTCCCAGATAGACTTCTCCCAGGTCTCATACTGCCGAAGGTGGGTCTCCATCCGCTCACCTTTCCCCGGAGGACTCCTTGCTCTTTGGTTGACGTGCTATGAAAGCAGCCATGTGGCAATCCTGGAAGACTCGAATTGGGCTCCTTTCCCACGTGTTTTTGAGTTTGGGGAGCAAAGTGGAAGTCTGAAGGGGCAAGATCGGGACTGCAGGGTGGATGCGAGGAGAGATCCCGATGAAATTTTTGTGGGACAGCTTTGTTCCTTTCCCCTAAGAGTGAGTGAGTGCATATTTACGATGCAAATAATAATAATAATATTATTAATATTAATAATAATAATAAACTCCTTGGCGCAACTTTCCTAGCTCTTTCCTCAGCTGTGGGGTTTTCCATAGTCTTAAAACTTCCTGATAAACCCCTGTGATAATTTTCCCACAAAATGATCAAGATGACCCCTTTGGACTCCCAAGCACCAAACTCCATATCTTTTTGAGCTGGCCTGTCTGCTTTTCATTGGCTCAGCTCCCCCCTCCCACCCCAGCCAATGTTTGCCTTGGACCTTTCTTTGGAAGGCGCCCCCGTGAGACTAGGATGCGTGGGTTACTGAGAGAACTTGTCTGAGCCCTCCGCCCATGGCAGAGATGTGTGCCAACACTGGAATCTTAGTAGCAATGCGTGTTCACAGACCCTTATAGATTAGTTTCTGTTGGCTGCTATGACCAGTGACCACACAGTGGGTGGCTTAGAACAACACACACTGATTATCTTACAGATCTGGAGGACAGAGGTCCTGCAGCTGCCTCCCTGGGCCAACATCCAGGAGGCCGCAGGCTTGTGCTCTTTTCTGGAAGCTCCAGGGGAGCCACCCTTTCGTGGTCCCTTCCAGCTCCTCAAGGTCACTCTTAGTCCTTGGCTCTTGGCCTCCTCTCCATCTATCTTCAACTGCAGCAGCGTAGCATCTTCTCTCCTCTCTGGTCTCAGCTTCTGTCCTGACACCTCCAACCCCGACTCTGCGGCCTTCTTCTTCTAAGGAGGCTCTGGCTGCCCTGGGCCCCGCTTTTGCAGGTCAGATGGCATCGCACAAGTTGAGGGGTTTGGGTGGGGCCATCTTTGGGGTCATTCAGCCAAGCACATTTGGTATGACCTTGACACTTCTGTCCTGTGTCACTCATCAGGGTCATTGTCTCAGTTTCAGGGGAAAAGGATGTGGTCTTCCTGATCGACGGTTCTGATGGCGTCAGAAGTGGGTTCACCCTGTTGAAAGAGTTTGTCCAGAGGCTGGTGGAGAGCCTGGATGTGGGCCGGGACCGGGTCCGAGTGGCCGTGGTTCAGTACAGCGACCGGCCCAAGGCCGAGTTTGTCCTGAACTCATACATGGACCAGCAGAGTGTCATCAACGCCATACGTGGACTGACGCTCCTGGGCGGTCGGACTCCCAACACTGGCGCAGCCCTGGATTTTGTCCTGAGGCATATCCTCATTAGCTCTGCGGGCAGCAGGATTGAAGAAGGCGTCCCCCAGCTTCTGATTGTCCTCACAGCTGACAGGTCTGGGGATGATGTGCAGGGTCCCTCGGTGGTCCTCAAGAGGGGAGGGGCAGTGCCCATCGGCATCGGCATCGGGAATGCTGACATCTCAGAGATGCAAACCATCTCCTTCATCCCGGACTTTGCCGTGGCCATTCCCAACTTCCGGCAACTGACCAATGTCCACCAAGTCGTCTCTGAGAGAGTCACCCAGCTCAACCGTGAAGAGCTTAAGAGGTTGCAGCCTCTTCTCCCAGCAGGTCCAGGTAAGGAGAGGATGCGTGGGCTCTTTGACCCTGTTAATCATTTGGGGCCACTTGTTGGGATGATAAATTGCACAGGGCCATCAGTGTTGTTTCCTCTGCCACGTGGGTAAAAAGTGGAATTCCATGGACACATTGGAAACCCATGGTTGGGACCCATCTGCTTCAACAATGGCTGTGAGAGGGATGCCAGACCTGGAGGTTTTGGTCTGCAGTCCTTGGGGTTTCTGTGCGGTGGGGCTGACTCAGTGGTCCCTACCAACAATGCCTTCTCCAGGCTTGGTGCCCAGGAATGAGAGAGGTTTGAAGGGAGGCTGTGATTTGTGCCTTTGGCCAAATTAAAGTCTCCACGTGGGCCAGATAGTTGACTGAAAAATCTCAGCTTCCTAACTCTACGTAGAAGGTTGTGCATAAGGGTTGGAAGGGTGATAAATTAATTGAACATGTGACTTCCAACCTCCCCAGGTAGATTTAGCCATCAGCCTCCGTGATTAGGGATGAGGCTTGACTATTGGCGCTTTCTAATGTCTGGGACCCATCCCGCTTTCACTCCATCGACTGGGCTTTTACAGATACGAGTTGCTGTTGTGACTATTTGCCTATCAGCTGGTGACTCTGACCGATGGAGAGGTGGTCCATTAATACTAAGAATTGTATGCGAATGAAGGTGAAACCCATGATAATGTTTGATTCACAGGTGTGGTCAGCAAGAAAGACGTGGTATTCCTCATTGATGGATCCCAAAGTGCTGGTCCAGAATTTCAGTACATCCGCACACTTATCGAAAGGCTGGTCGACCACTTGGACGTGAGCTTTGACACCACCCGCGTTGCGGTGATCCAGTTTAGCGAGGATCCCAAGGTGGAGTTCCTGCTGAATGCCCACTCCAGCAAGGATGAGGTGCAGAATGCCGTAAGACGGATGAGGCCCAAGGGGGGCCGGCAAGTCAACATCGGGGGCGCCCTGGATTATGTGTCCCAAAACATCTTCAAGAGGCCACTGGGAAGCCGCATCGAGGAGGGCGTCCCTCAGTTCCTGGTCCTCATCTCGTCTGGGAAGTCCGACGATGAAGTGGACGGCCCCGCAGCAGAGATCAAGCAGTTCGGGGTGGCCCCTTTCACCATCGCAAGAAGCCCAGACCAGGAGGAATTTGTGAAGATCTCCCTCAGTCCTGAATATGTGTTCTCCGTGAACACCTTCAGGGAACTGCCCAGCTTGGAGCAGAAGCTGTTGACTCCCATCACCACCCTGACCTCGGAGCAAATTCAACAGCTCCTGTCCACTACACGCTACCCTCCAGGTGAGAGCTGCCTTTTCGTCCTGCGTGCCTATGCGTCAACGACACATAGAGGTGTACGTGGTGATCTTGGTCCACTATGACCACAGAAGGGCTCTGTGTCCTGTCGATGGGAAGGAGTCTAGGTTGAGCAGGAGATTGCCAATATCTGGCTGGGTGCAGGGCCAGCTCCCCATGTTCAGGGGCTGCTTTTCTTTTTCACTGATGTCCGTTGAGATTTTTCTGGGATGCATTTCCTCTGTAAAATACTCCCGAGGTTCAGGAGGCAAAGACAGGTTGCAATGTGTTGAGTGGCAGCACTGACGTAGTCCTAGACGCGGTCCTGGGGAATCCCCTTCAATGCTAGCTGGCAGGACATGTCAGCTCATCTTTCCTGGGATTTTAAGATGACTTTTTTAGTTAAAATGGACTTATGTAAAGAACATATAGAGCGTTGGTGGTGGTGGAGGTGGTGGAGATGGTGGAGGTGGTGGTGGTGGTGGTGGTGGAGATGACTGGGGTAGGGGTGGTGGTGGTGGAGATGATTGGGGTAGGGGTGGTGGTGGTGGTAGAGGTAGAGGTAATGGTGCAGTTGTTGGTGATGGTGTTGTTGGTGATGATGGTGTTGGAGGTGGTGGTGGAGATGTTGTTGGTGTTGGTGGAGGAGGTGGTGTTGGAGTGGAGGCAGTGTTGGTGGTGGAGGTGGTGGTGATGTGTTGGTGGTGGTGGTGGAGATGTTGTTGGTGTTGGTGGAGGAGGCGGTGTTGGAGGTGGAGGTGGTGGTGATGTGTTGGTGGTGGTGGTGGTAGTGAGGGAGGTGGAGGTGGATAATCATGAAAATAATGTTTGTCTGACTATTAGCAGTAAGTGGGGAAAGAGAATTAGGAGAAAATGAGCAGTCAGGATGCTTCACTGCATCTTGGTGTGGACAGGATTGGGTTGGGAGGACCTTGCCCCAGATGGATTGGGACTGGTGAGCAGGGAAGCTGGAGAGATGGCATGGCCTGTTGGGCCAGAGGGTGGACGCTAAAATGTCCCTTATCAAACAGTCATTTTGGACAAGTCACTTAGCCTCATTGGACCTCACCTGCCTCTCCTTTTTGTGGGAAAAGGGAGTTTACCTCAGTGATTTTGGTTCCTTTTTGTGGCAACTGTTCATGATCCTGTAGTTTGTCATATGTAAGATTTGTTGCTAAAACTTTAAAAATTAAGGGCAAGCAAGACCATAAGGCAATATTAAAACAGTAAATTCAGAAACAGTAGGTTTTGGAGAGTGCAAACTCTTTCATAGGTGCCCTGGGGGTGTAGTGGTTACACATTGGGCTGCTCACCGCAAGGTCAACGGTTTGAATCCACTAGGTGCTCCTCCACCTCCACCACCACCACCACCTCCACCCCAACCATCCGGAGCTTTCTGCTCCCTAAATATTGGCAGCCTTGGAATCCCCCAGGGCGGTTCTACGATGTCCTCAAAAGTCTCTGAGTCACCACAGACTAGACAGCAGTGAGTTCTAAACTATTCCAAAAAAGGAAACGGAAAACGGTTTGGTGGGAGAAAAGGGAGTCCCCTCGAAGTCTAGCTGGCAGGACCTGTGAGCTCGTCTTTCCCAGGATTTTCAGACTGATCTTCTAGTAAAAATGGATCCACATGGAGGGTGGTGGCAACGATGCGTTTAAAAATGTCGATGGGGATACATGACACATGCCAATAAAGATACAATTCTGATGCTTATCGACACGGTGGTGCACGATAATGCAATGCTCAGCATGTGATACAAAGAGCAAAACCAGAGCCAGGCGTGGGCAGGCTGTGTCCTGAACTTTCTGCCCTTTTCCCCTCTTCAGTTGTTGAGAGCGATGCTGCCGACATCGTGTTTCTGATTGACAGCTCCGACGGCGTGAGGAGCGAGGGCATCGCGCACATTCGAGACTTTGTGGGCAGGATCGTGCGGAGACTCAACATTGGCCCCAGTAAGGTGCGCATCGGGCTCGTGCAGTTCAGCGACGAGGTCTTCCCCGAGTTCTACCTGAAGACCCACAAGTCCCAGGCTGCCGTGTTGGAAGCCATACGCCGCCTGAGGTTCCGGGGAGGCTCTCCACTCAACACTGGCAAAGCCCTGGAGTCCGTGGCAAGAAACTTTTTTGTGAAGTCGGCCGGAAGCCGCATCGAAGACGGCGTGCCCCAGCATCTCGTCGTGATCCTTGGTGGGAAATCCCAGGATGACGTCTCCAGGTTCTCACAGGTCATCCGTTCCTCGGGCATCGTCAGCTTAGGGGTGGGAGACCGGAATGTCGGCCGAAGTGAGCTGCAGACCATCACCAACGACCCCGGGCTGGTCTTCACCGTGCGAGAGTTCAGAGAGCTGCCCAACATAGAAGCCCGCATCATGGGCTCCTTTGGACCCTCTGGGGCCACCCCTGCACCCCCAAGCCCGGGTCCACGTCCACCTTCGAGACCAGGTATGTGCTGTGAGGCTAGGGACTGGGGGTGTGGCACCCTTTTTTTTTTCCCCTCCAAGGAAAATGGAGATGATTACTTTTCAAGGAAATAGGAATGGAGTTATTAAAATTTAAGTCATGATTCGAAATGATTAGCCTTCATTTTAATATTTGCCTTCTCTCAGAATGACTTCTGAAGATATTGAATTCTGGGACTAGAACCCTATTGAAACTGTCGAAGGAAGTATACCTCACCAACTGTGTGGTCATTGCTTCTTTCGTCCCTCCTGAAGTTCATGGCCGCCTTGTGGGGACGCTCCCCAAGGATGCCATGAGGGGCACTCAGGGACGCATTGGCCTTCAGTATTGGATGGAATCATCTGATACTGAAGTCAGTCCCTGCATGCCCATTGGTGGGATACCCACCCTCCTTCTTGGGTAGATGGGACCTGAGTCGGGAACCCCATTTAAATCTCCTACCCCACATTCCTAGTGGCAACTTTAGCGTTGCCAAGAACACATTGAGTCTCTCCGCCGGTCCACGTCTCCTTTTGATACTCCTCGAGAAGATGGGCTCCCCACGTCCCGAGCAAGTCACAAGGGCTGGGTCTCCAGGGAGGAGGTGTGCTCTGCATTGCTCTTTAACCCTGCCACTGCCTCCCTCCCCTCTCTTACCATCCTCTGAGGTCCTACGCTCTCTGTTCTAGCCTCGGTTGGGTGAAGAGAATCGGGACACTAGTCCCCAGAGCCATGGATTCCCAGAAGACCGCCACAAGGCCTTCAGTGTGCCAGCACTCATGCCTTCCAAGATTCATGGGGCCCCTTCTCATTCTTCCACACGCTTCTCTAGTCCTCCCGTGTCCTGCGGAGCTCTAGCACATGCCCTCACACTCTGGCTGGCAACTGTCACGTATGGAAAACCGAAAGAATGACTGTTGTGGTAGTTCCTGACACACTCGAGATAATGCATCATTCACTCCAGGTCCCCATAGGCTTCCTGAGCTTGCTTGCTAGAACCGGGCCTCATTTTCACTGAGTTATCATTTCCTGTTTCATTCTCTGGTGCTGATGTAACAGAAGCACCAACAACTGGGTAGCTTTAGCTGATAGAAAAGAGAGAGCAAGGTTAATGCCAGAGGTCTGAATTCAGAGCAAGGGCTCTAAGGGAATGCTTTCTCTCCCTGTCAGCCCAGGGAGGGGGTAGAGGAGGCCTTTGTCTCCTTTAAGCATCTGCAGGCCTGGTGTCTCTTGGAGAACTCCATGCATCTTGACTTCAACCTTCTCCTGGGTCTAGGAGGTTCTTGGCACAGGGGCTCTGGGGACAAAGGATGCACTCTGCTTCTACTTATTCCACGCCCCCCAGGTGGTGCTCAGGTCCCCACTTCTCTCTCCCTTTATCTCTTCTAAGATAAAAGGTGGTACAGACCACAGTCCAGGGACACTGCCTTTACATCAGACCAGAGCTGTGACTTGGGTAAAGGCATCCCGCCCTATCCTCTGACAACCAATAGACTGATCACATCAGATCACATCGTGGGGATGATTAAATCATTAATCAGCTTTCATTTGCATCATTACACACTGGCCAAACTGAGTGGACATATTTTGGGGGAGTGGAGGGTGGGAAAACACAATTTAGTCTAAGACACTTACCTTTTCTGTTTTGGCCTAATTTGAGGGGGCATAGGCTGACCTCACGACCATTTTCATCAGGGCCTGGAGGGGCTGATGTCAGAGGTTCTATCCAATATGGAAAGCTGGTGTGTCTATGATTTACCTGCGACCACAAGGTCAGCAGTTTGAAACCACCAGTCATTCCTCAGGGGAAAGACAAGACTTTCTATTCCCATGAAGAGTTCCAGTCTTTGAAACTCAGGGCAGCTCTGCCCTGTCCGACAGGGTTGCTATGAGTTGGCGTGGATTTGATGGCAGTGGGTTCTGAGGTTTGGGTTTATGCTATTAGAGAAGGGCTATTAGATTAAGGGCCTTTGCTGAGCTGTTAGATAAGGGCCGTGAATTCAAAGACTCTAAAGGCATGCAATCCAGGGAAGGGTTTCGTATCACTGACTTATAGGGAAGCCTCGTTTTCATGATTTTAATTTACTGTTTGTGTTTTCCTGTTCTGGTATGAGAAACCATGTTCTCCTCATTTCCACTTTAATCCCCCGCAGAGCAAAAGAAAGCAGATATCGTGTTCCTGTTGGATGGTTCCATCAACTTCCGGAGGGACAGTTTCCAGGAAGTGCTCCGTTTCGTATCGGATGTTGTGGACACAATTTATGAAGGGGGTGACTCGATCCAGGTGGGGCTGGTCCAGTATAATTCTGACCCCACGGATGAGTTCTTCCTGAAGGACTATTCCTCCAAGACGCAGATTATCGAGGCCATCAATAAAGTGGTCTACAAAGGGGGCCGACATGCCAACACCAAGGTGGGCATCGATCACCTGCGGCGGAACCACTTCGTGCCCGAGGCGGGCAGCCGCCTGGAACAGAGGGTCCCGCAGATCGCCTTTGTGATCACGGGGGGGAAGTCGGTGGAGGATGCTCAGGAGGCGAGCCTGGCCCTCACTCAAAGTGGAGTCAAGGTGTTTGCGGTGGGCGTGCGGAACATCGACTCGGAGGAGATCGGGAAGATGGCGTCCAACAGTGCCACGGCATTCCGAGTGGGAAATGTGGTGGAGCTGTCGGAGCTGAGCGAGCAGGTTCTGGAAACGTTGCATGATGCCATGCACGAAACCTTGTGCCCCGGTGTGCCTGACGTCTCCAAAGGTAACCCCCGTTGAGTGCCTTCCACCCTGTCCTTAAAAGGAATGAGTTAAATGTCCACAGCGAAGAGTACACCACGCCAAGACATTCCACACACATGACTCAGTGACATCGCTTACCTTCTTCATGTGGGGTTGCCACCCTCAACGTCCTTTTCCAATGGACTCTACCACCCTTCGCATAAATCAGCAGTTCTCAACCTGTGGGTCGTGACCCCTTTGGGGGTCGAATGACCCTTTCACAGGGGTCACCTGATTCATAGCAGTAGCAAAATTGCAGTGATGAAGTAGCAATGAAAATAATTTCATGGTTGAAGGGTCACCACCACACGAGGCACTGTATTAAAGGGCCGTAGCATGAGCAAGGTTGAGAACCACTGTCCGTTAAAGCTTCCCATCTAACCTTTAGCGTTGTACTGGCCAGTTTGAACCCACTTCTTTGGGAAAGCTCCATGCAAGCATGCTTTACTAACTAAGCTAGGCTGCTGTTCCGCTCAGGCAGACATCCGAGGAAACTTGTGGTTTGAAGGTTAAGGCTGGAAGATGATTCCAGGGCACTAGTTCGGCAGTTTGTCTAGTCTCGACGGCACCTTCATATTTGCGGGTTATTTAATATTGGATCCTGTGACTTTCATGAGCGCTGGTTGGCTTCAGCCATTTGCTTATATCCAGATATAAGTTGGCTGGGCCCTGGTGATCGCCCAGCTATGGTTGTCATATGGTCTTCCAGGGTAGGCATGGAAGTCAGTCTTTTCTTGCCTTTATAAAAAGTCACTCTGATCTCTATTTCTGTTTATAGGTTTATTAGATCAGTTGCCTGGGATCAGAGTATTAGCCAATTCAATCAGAAACTTGGGTGGTTTCTAAAAACCTCCTGAAGATTGTCATACCGACAGTTATTAGCATTATCAAAAATAAATCTTGTGTTTAAAAAAACAAGTTTCCTAAGAGTTGGCACCATTGTTTTTCTCCATGAGAGAAGCAGCTCAGATTGCTTTTCAAAGCTCATATGGAGAAGCTCCCATTTTCCCCATGAACACCAAGTCCCGGTTAAGGCCTGGCTTGTGCTGGTCACGGGGTAAATAAGAATTATCCTGAAAGCCTCTGTGTGCAGCTCACTGCCTGTTTTCTCCTTTCCAGCCTGCAGTGTGGATGTGATCCTGGGGTTTGATGGCTCAAGTGATGAGAATGTATTTATGAGCCAGAAGGGGCTTGAGACCAAAGTGGAGGACATCCTGAACAGGATCAGCCGGATGCAGAGGATCAGCTGCACTGGCCTCCAGGCGCCCACTGTGCGAGTGTCCGTAGTGGCCAACACACCCTCAGGACCCGTGGAGGCCTTTGCCTTGGACGAGTACCAACCGGAGCTGTTTGACAAGTTCCGGAACATGCGCATCCAGCACCCCTATGTCCTCACTGCCGACACGCTGAAGCTCTACCAGAGCAAGTTCAGAGCGTCTTCGCCCAACAGCGTGAAGGTGAGCAGGGGCTGCCCTCAGTCAGACTCACCCTGTGCGCTTCCTATCCGGTGCCTGGGGGACCCTCCCCAAATTCTATAGACAGTCTTCATGTCCTTTCCTTCTTCACCGACCGGTCACACCTTCCTCATTTAGCTTAATCTCCACTCTTAAAGACAATTCCTAGGAATCTGTAATTAAGCTTCATGGAGTTGAATTTATGATTAATTCTTAATCAATTGTAGTTCTAGCCACTAAATAAGCTAGGTTCTCTACAGACGTTTCTCTCCCCTTCAATGTACCTAACCTGTTGAGTTGATTCTGACTCATCACAACTCCGTAGAACAGAGTAGAACAGCCCCGCAGGGCTCCCAAGCCTGTCAGTATTTCTACAAGAAGACGACCTCTTTCTCCCACCATGTGGCGGGTGGGTTTGAACTGCTGAAGGTTTGACTAGCAGCCAGATGCTTTAACCACTGTGCCACCAGGGCCCCTCTTTCTATATGTACGCCACTGCATAGACATGTTTGGGATGAGGGCGTTTCCGAAAGTTCATAGAAAAAGAACATGAAAAGATGATGGCATTTTCCCCAGGAGCGTTTTGAAGCTCAACAGCCAGAGAGATATGAGACTGGGGGGACCCCTCACTGGATCTTGGCCCTCCATTGTTTCCATAAGAACGATATAATCTCTCAGCGTCCCGAGGGCCATCTGGGATGTTTCTTCTCCGTCTGAGGTGCCTTCTGTTTTCAGGTGGTCATTCATTTCACGGACGGGGTGGATGGAGACATGGGAGCTCTGCAGAAAGCCTCCGAGGAACTGCGAGAGGATGGTAGGTTTGGCAACATCCTCAGCCTGAGGTTGTGGCGTGCTGCTTGCTGCTCGCTGCTTTGGGGAGATGCGCTTGGGTTACAGCAGTGCCCTTGCTGCGCTGCTTCTGGGAAGGCTTGACCCTTGTCCTCAGTGTCCTGTCCTTCCTCGCCCGTCTGGGCAGTGGAGTAGAGTTAGGGAGGGCTCTTGATGGTTAAAGACAGTTTATTTCAAGTTCAAAGGCTTCAGAAGAATGTCTAGGGCATCTCTTATTACGAGAACGCTCCGCTCACTCACCCGCGTGACGCGGGCTGTAGAGACAGGGCATTGCTTCCCAGGTTCTTTTCAGAAGCGTTAGCATGTTCGTTGAATACCACAGCCCAGGAGAGAGTGGATTTTTTTTTTTCAATGAATGTTTCGAACCACCTTCCCCTCTGTATTTCACTTCCTTACTTGACACATCTGTGACATGTGAGACCTGAGACGGAGAACCCAACCATACCTAATTCTGCTTCGTGGTTCTCAATTTTCTAGTAATGCACTTAGCTATGGGCATGCGTGAAAAACACCACCCGGGGGGTGTCCAGGGTTTCTGTCTTTCCGCTCTGCAGGGAGGCAACCAGTTCAGTTAACAACATCTGTACCGAAGCCCACATGTCACAGCGAGCCTTTCTCAAACAGAGAAAGGAAACGGAGGGCATGCAGGTAAGAAGGTGTTGCCTTTCCCAGCAGGCGTCCAAGCACTGATCTTCGTGGGCCTTGAGCGGGTGGCCAATCTGGAGAGGCTGATGCAGCTGGAGTTCGGACGAGGGTTCATGTACAACAGGCCCCTGAGGCTGAACCTGATGGATTTGGATCACGAGCTGGCAGAGCAGCTTGTAAGTTGTCTACGTCTTCACCCACGAGTTAGATTTGGACGCTGCAGATTGCAGCATCTTAAGACAACCGGTCAATGGTGACACGCATTCTAGGAGAGGCCTTGTGGTTTCGTGCCCCATGGACCCCACAGTATCGAATAGCTGGGGACCCAGGAGAATGATTGCTTGACTTTGGCCCTCACTTCCTGTAACTGTAAAACGGTGAATTTGAATGGGATAAGCTCCCGTTCAGTTGTCTGTGGGCGAATGGGACCTGGGCTGAATGCAGGCAGGTGCATTGATTCATTTAATTCGATTGAACCGGTTGCCCCTGGACTGACTTGGACTCTAAGTGACCCAATGTATATCAGAGTAGAACTAGGCTCCTCTGGAGTTTCAGTGGCTGATATTTTTGTAAGTAGATATCCTGTGTATATCCTTGAGTACATCTTCTGAGGTGCCTCTAAGTAAATTTCAGCTCTTCAGTTAGTCCAACAAAGTAATGATTTGTGTCTAACCGAACCTACTTCAATCAAAGCAAAGCAAACCCCAATGCTGTCCAGTTACCAACAACCCACAGCAACCCTATAGGACAGAGCAGAACTACCTTATAGATTCTCCCAAGGCTGTACTCTTCCAGGAGGCAGATTGCCACAGCTTTCTCCTTTGGAGTAGCTGGTGGGTTTAAGCCAACAACCTCTGGTTAGAAATCCAGCACTTAACTGTTGAACCACGAGGGTAGCCCCCAGGGGCTCCTAACCCACTTGTTGCCATAACTCACAAGTCCTGAATGTGTAAGTTCGATTGCTGGAGAGTGGGCACCCAGGGCTTCCCATGACCCCCGCAGCGGTTGCTCCTTTTCCTGTCTTTTTAGTAGTACGATTTCTGGGAATGCAGAACATTACGGGTGGTTATCCCCGAGCAGTGAGCACAATGTCCGTGGCGAAAATGTCCTTGAGAAGTACGGACACTTCTGGAGGGAGGAGGGCTTGCATCGTCTCACCTTCTCATTTCCTCTGGCTGCCTCCTCCTCCCTGAGCAGGAGGCCCTAACTCCGGGGTTGAGTGGGCCTTGGCTTTGATGTGGGTGTGGGCACTAGAGAAATGGAAGAAGACTGAGTCTTGGATTCAGACAGCGGCCAGCCTCATGGCAAATGGGGAGCCACGAAAGTGCAGCCTACTGAGAAAGGGGCGGTGGATGCGTGGAGCTGATGGTACATCTTTTCAGTGTCCAGGGGCTGAGATGCTAGAAGGGCATGCAAGTATCTGATGGTTGTCAGAGACACTGGTGGGCAGAATTGAGTGCCTGTGACCGAGAGGCCGGGACAACCCACTCTTGTTTGCCCCCAACTCGTGGCCGTTCTGGAGACTAAGTATCCTAATCCGTGACTCTGACCGCAGTTCCGAGGAAAGTCATGCTATGTATATCGATGTTGGAGCCACCTTTAGACCCAGGAATTTGCAAATTGTTAGGTTTGGTTGTTTGTTGTCCAAAGCATCTATATGACATGTAACATCGGAAGCATGCACATCTATGTTGGAAACTTCTAGAAGAGGGCCCAGCCTAGCAGTGTGAATATGATTGATTTTATGTTGGTGGCTTTCCATGCTCTCATTAGTGACCTCCCCAACCTCCCACCTTCCCCACTCTCGACCACCCACTGGCCGCTAAGACAGAGACTCTTGGCTAAAGCAATCCTGAGTTCATGCCAAAGTGACTTTGACCACCCACTGGCCGCTAAGACAGAGACTCTTGGCTAAAGCAATTCTGAGTTCATGCCAAAGTGACTTTCACCAGATTCCAACCGGGAAAACCATGCTTCTTTCTCGGCACGTCCTGAGCGGTGAACGTCCCCCGTTCTTGCTGTCTTTCAGGACAGCATTGCTGAGAAATCTTGCTGTGGGGTTCCCTGCAAGTGCTCTGGACAAAGAGGAGACTGGGGGCCCATCGGCACCATCGGGCCTAAGGTAAGGTGGTTTTCCCCACTTCCCCTCTTAGGCCTGAGACCAGCTTTGAGAAACCCAGCATTCCTCTGGCTGGAACTTTCTGTAACACCACTATGGAGGTGGGTAAAGGAGGAGACTGCAGAACAGGGAGTCCGCAGTGCAACGGAGACGCCTTGCCAGTCGCCCTCGCGTTGATGCCA